GTGAAGTTGTTAAAAATAACATGGTGTATAGACCATAATGCATGGTCTTGCAGCAATAAAATGGATAGGTAGGTTTTCAGTTCACAACAAATGATATGGAAATTGCAATTCTCAATGCAAAATACCTAATGATTATATTTTAAACATTACCTGACGATTGTATACAGGAAACAGTCTCTCATAAGAATGTTCATGTGCCCAGAGCTCAAGATCAACACCTAAATGACAATTTAAATGTTTGAATRYATAGATGTTTTTCCTTAACTAGACATCATCTCATGACTTTTGTCTGTGTCTTTTTTTGTAAGTTTACTGTTACAGGAAAAGATTGAATTGGAGGCAACCATAAGAATCTTTTTAAAACCTTATTAGGTCCTGATATACTTGCTTATTTCAAAAAACACAGTCTGGGAAAATGGCAATTGTCGRAGGGAGATTGTATGACCTGAATGGACTATGGTTACGATGTTCAACGTGTAAAATTTTACTTGTTGGGTTCATCTTGTGTAAAATGGAGACTAAATGGAGTTAATGTTTAACAAAGACTTATTAGACTAAGTGTAAATAATTATTTCCCATCAATTAGCAAAAACCCATGGCTCCTTTCAGTTGTGCAATCTTCGTYCAACAATTGCAATTCGCCACCTTTTTGGAAATAGGTACAACTGCACACATTATAATTACTTACCATATTTGTAAAAGAGATCTTCCAGGCCTGGCACTTTTGTTTTTGGATTGCCTGTACGTACCTTAAATATTTACAAAATTAAATATTAAATAACAAASAAATCAACTAACTTGTTATAACAACTCAAACCCTTGCATGGTGACCAACTTCAAAATATTGAAGCATTGAACAAGAATCTGGAAAGTAGGCTATATTTAGGACTCAGACTCAGTGATCTAATGATTTCATTGTGCAAGGGACAACCTGTAATGAATGTGAGGGAGTGAACTAATACGTCCTGACAGTTTGAGTTCACAGGTATCAATGGATATACTACTACAGATACCTCAAAGAAAAGAATGATATTAATCAATGCTTTGATAATCAGTAAGAAAGCAAAGAGTRAGGAGTTCAAGAAATTTCAAGGAAAATCATAGTTCATGGAGGGGACAATCCTCTCTATGAACTATGGGGAAATGTTCCTCCCAAGTCAATATAAACCTTACYATGCTCTCATGCTTAGAACAGTCATCCTGGTCTAGGTTGGAACAATACATTGGACGATGGCCCATGGTTATTATCCAGGGACGAAGGGTGCGGTTCTCAGGGGCAGTGGCTTCCTATCAAATCACATCACAAGAAAACATTGAGAATCAC